CAAATATTTTCTCCCATGATATAGGCTCTCTCTGCATTCCTTTGATTGTTTAATTTGCTGTGTAGAAGCCTTTTTAGGTTTATGTAATCCTGCTTATTTTTGTTTTTGTTTCCTATGCTTTGGGGTCCTAAACTTTTGGGCTAGTATAATGTTTTCATTCATGTTTTTATGTGATTCTCTATGAATTTAAATTGACTTTTCTAGTTCTTTGAAGAATGCAATCAATAATTTCATAGATATTACATTGAATCTATAGACTACTTTAGGTAGCACTGACATTTTAACAATATTCTTTAGGTTTATGAATATAAGATGTCTTCTTTTTTTAAATATTTTTGTTATTATTAAGGTGTTGTACAAGAGTTACAGTTTTAAGACTTTTTGGACAATATTACCCCTTCTTTCGCTTTCCCCATTGCCCTCTTCTGTCCCTGCTCACAAGTTGCCTAGTTCATTTCCCACATAGTGTATAGCAAGTTTTCTTTTTATGTGTTACATCTGTAAATCACACATAGGGAGGAAAAAGAAGGAAAAGCAAAGGGGTTTTCTTCTGTGAAGGCTTTCTCCAGTGAAGGTCTCTTTCTTCAGGTTCTGTGTCTTATCACTTTAGCCAGAAATAGCAGAAGGGCATCTGGGAGATGTGATTACTTTCAGTTGGCCATAAGTGCTTTCCTGAATCAAATCAGAGCTGAAAGGGGGATGGATATCAGGCAGGTAGCTTGCATTATCCTCTACAGATATTTTATTCTCCTATTTTCCTGTGGCGATACTGAAAATCTGTAGCAACCAATAAGGCATTGACACTAACCAGAGTGTATAGACAACCTTGAAACATAAGCACCTGCCATACTAGTCATATTGATGGATACCAACCCCACTAAGTATCTCATTTAGTTTCTTTTAAAATTTATGACTATATAAATGTTACTCATAATTGAGTATAGGATCCTAGTTTACTTGTTCTTCTCTAGCTCTTTATTCTTTGTTGTTGTTGTTGGTGGTGGTGGTGGTGATCATGGGGCTTGAACTCTGGGCCTGGGTGCTGACCCTGAGCTTTTTAGCTCAAAGCAAGCACTCTACCACTTGAGCCACAGCGCCACTTCTGGCTTTCTGGTGGTTAATTGGAGATAAGAGTCTCATAGACTTTCCTGCCTGGGCTGGCTTTGAACCTTAATCATCAGATCTCAGCCTAGTGAGTAGTTAGGATTATAGGCATGAGCCACCAGTGCCCAGCTTTGGCTCTTTATTTTTGATAGATATCTGATGATCTCTCAAGAATAACATAATGTCTTCTCACATTTTTGTGTTCTCTAAAATTTCTTTCAGCAACATTTTGTAATTTTCATGGCATAGCCTTATCACCTTTTAGTTAAGTTTACTCCTGAACATTTCTTTAGCTATTATAAATGTAAATAAGATTGCTTTCTTGCTTTTTAAAATTATTTTTGGCATCATTAGCATTTGGAGTTAGGACCTCATGCTTAATAGACAGGCATTCTATCCCCTGGGCCATTCCCTCAGCCTTTTCTGTAGTTTATTTTTGGTCGGTTATAATACTTTATTCTCAGGCTGACCTTAGACAACAATCCTCCTACATCTTCCTCTCATGAATCTGGGATTATAGGCATGACTCAACATGCTCAGCTTGTTCTTTGAAATAGAGTCTTGATAACTTTTTTTCCTGTTTATTATTCTTTTGGTTTGCATTTCATTCATTTCAGTTGTCATCTTTAGTATTTATTTACTTCTAATTTTGGATTTTGTTTGTTCTTGTTTTTTCTAAGCACATCTTTAGATTATTTATTGGAGATCACACTCATTTTTTGCAGTACTGGGGTTTGAACTCAAGGCCCTAAAAATTGCTAAGCTTGCTTGCTTGGCTGTTACTCTACTACTTGAGTCACAATCCAAGATTTTAATTTACCTGGTGATTTTGGAAATGAAGTCTAACAGACTTGTCTGCCTCCTCTAGCTTTGAATTTTAATCCTCTGGATCCCAGCCTTCTGAGTATATAGAATTTCAGGCATAAGCTACCTTTGCCTGGCTATACCTAATTTTTTCATGTAGGCACTCAGATATAAATCTCCTGTTACAAAACTCTCTTTGTTGGGAACAACTATTTTCCCAATAAGGACCTAAAGGAAGGGGTTAAGATAATATAGAGTACTTTAGAGAGATAGAAATTCATAGAGGTAAAAGGATTAACAATAAGTTAACAACAAGGGGGAAGAGGGAAAAAGAAAAAGAAAAAAACTAGGTAAAACTGAGAGAAGCATATGGAATCAAGAGAAATAATAGTAAAGGAAAACCAAATAAAGCAATGAAAAAACTACTTTTTAAAGCTAGGCAATGATTCTCTTTTTGATATTCAGGGTGGACTGAAGTCTCCCCCCAGGTCTCTCATTTTGAAATTCACTAGTTGTGGGAATGGGGCTGTGAATCCTTTTCTTTCTTAAGTAGGTCAAACTTCCAAGGGCTAAATGGAGGCTAGACCTTCCCTTGTCTTGTCCCCTTATGGGGAAGATAAGGCAGTGATCATTACTGGACTGAATTTTTGCAAGAGATCTCCCTAAGGGGACCCAGTAACATGATGAGTCCAAAAGCCACCCTTAAATTTCACTCATTCTGGACCCCTGGTTAGATGCCCCTCACCCAGAGGTACTCCTCCAGTGTCTGACAAGATATGGGAAATAGCTAAGCAGCAGCTGTTTCCATGAAAATTCTTTGGGGCTTTGAGAACTGGGTGATCAAAATAAAGAAATCTGCCTTGGAAGCAGAGGTAAGGCATAGGTATTGAGTGATCTTACCTTCCTTGGCCAAGCTACTCTCTTATCCCAGTTCCTCCACACCTGGTCTCATTCCTCTTACAGAGGTAGGACTGTGGTTCTTAAGTGGAAGCACCTCCATTTTCCCATGAAGCTCAATCCAGACTTCCTACCACAATATCTTTTCCTTCAAATCTGCATCCAAGCCACAAACCAGTGGATCCACAATGACTATTGTGATGATTGCTCATCTAACCAATGTAGAGAGGCCTTCAGAACTTAGAGACATAAAAATACAGGTGTCTCAATAGAGCAATGGTGGCTCACATCTAGCTACTTAGGAGGATGAGATATAAAGATGGAAGTTTGAAACTAGCCCTGGCAGGAAATGTCCATGAGAAACTCTCCAACTATGGAGCAAAAAGCTAGGAGCAGAGCTGTGGTTCAAGTGGTAGAACACCAGCTATGAGTGAAAAAACTAAGGGACAGTGCCCAGACTCTGAGTTCAAGCCACACACACACACACACACACAAACACACACACACACACACACACACACACACACACACACACACACACACACACACATCCCCCTCTCTGTAAGACTCTCCATAGCACCAGTCCATACACTAGAAAGTGGAATGAGCAACTTCTGCTGTGTTGCTCATAGATCTTCTGTTTCAAACTTTTTTTTTGCAGTGTCAGACTGTGCCTATGGAGCTCACTAAGGATTTTCTCTCTTTTGATAAAGCCCCATTGAGGATTTTTCCTTCCCTATTGCTGTTGCCAAGTATCCACTGTTAAGATTGTTTTACAAAGTTGATGACTGACGTTTCTAGATTTTTCCAAGTATCTGTCTACTATTTACTGTTTTGCTCCAGTACCTGTCCTGGCCTTCTTGGTATCCTTTTCCCTATAACCAGGCATCTGTCTCAATCTCATGTAGACATTGGGACGTGCTGGGTGTGTCTCCAAACCACCATGCTTCCCCTAATGGTGTCCTTTGCTGTTGCAATCACATACAGTTTATCTGATTGTGTGTGTGTGTGTGTGTGTGTGTGTGTGTGTGTGTGTATGTGTGTATGTAACTTTTTTGTATCCTATCTGGAAAACCAGGGCCTAACTTAAGGTTGCAAACATCTGCTTCTATAATTCATTCTAAAAGTTTTTAGTGTATATTTTGTATTTCGGTCTGCTAGATTTTTAAAATTTTGTATATTGTGAGGTAGGGGGTCTAACTTCATTCTTTTACATGTGGCTATCCAGTTCTCACAGCACCGCTTGTTGAAAACATTGTTCTTTCTCCATTAGTCATGGGTCTCTTACCAAAGATTGTATATAAATGTGGGGGCCTATTCCTGGATATTTTTTGGTGCTGGCCCTGAGGCTTGAACTCCTGGCCTAGGCACTGTCCTTGAGCTTTTTTGCTGAAGGCTAGTGCTCTACCACTTGAGTCACAGCTTCACTTTCAGCTTTTCTGGTAGTTAGTTGGAGATGAGTCTCATGGACTTTTCTTCCCCTGGCTTGCATTGAATCTTGATCCTCAGATCTCAGCCTCCTATGTAGCTAGGATTACAGGCATGAGCAATTGGCTCTCAATTTATTCCTGGACTTTTAAGTCTATTTGCTTATTATACCTTTACATGAAGTTTTAAAATTTGGAAATGGGAATCCCCCAATTTTGTCTACTTCAAGATTGTTTTTGCTATTGTGGGTCCCTTGCATTTTCATATTATTTTATGACCACATTGGAAATTTCCTCGAAGAGAGTAACCTGAATTGTGATAGGGATCATTTAACATTGGAATTGGAGAGTACCATCATCTTCAATGTACAAGTCTTCTGATGCAAGAAATGTCTTTCACCAGATTTCATTTTGAGCAAGAAGTCTGTGGTTATATTTGTGATGTTTGGACTTGCTCAATTGTTTTAGAAGTCTAAAGAGATGAATTAAAATCCCTTTGAACAACTACTTAAAGATAGTAATTAATGATTTAATTAAAAATAAAGCACTATAAAGACATCATATTATTTTTAAAGTTAATTGTTTAAATATTTTGATTCTGAGGCCAGGGACTAATTTCAGTGGATTGAGTAAAATGCTCAGATTTCACACCCACTCTATTTACTCTGTAATGTTGGTTTCAATTGATTATGTGAACAAAATTATGTGATTATTTTTATATTAAGATACAAATTATGTTTATATGATATTTTCAGATAAACTATGCACTTAGAAAAACATATGCAGCTTTTATTGTAATTCAGAATACAAGAATTCTCTTTTTCATATCCCTGGCAGACAATTACAACGTACACACATACCATATCCCTGTCTCTAAATCTCTCATTTGGGAACTCAGAAACTATGAAATATTGAAAGCTCTTGAATAAAGTTATGCCATTTTAATTTTTTCCATTCTCATTTGTATAAATGTTTTTCTTAAGTTAAGATATTCTTTATTACTGAGCATTTTAGAAGTAGAAAATTATAAAAACAAGCACATACTGTCTAATTTAGAACAACAGTTAAGATATAGAAGAATATACAATGAAGGTTAATATGATAGGATACATATACCATAGAAAAATTGACAGTAAGTAGAGAGCGTCTTATATATAATATTACCTCTCTCCCCCTTTCTGATATATTCGCACTACAATGAATGAGTACATGGCCATTTGAGAAGGTTTACATTTTGATACTTAGTAAGATTTTTATAGATTTCTAATAAATAGTTACTTGAAATTCATAACTTACTAGATAATAGTCAGCTCTAACACAGCAAGGAAACAAAATTTATTTGAATCTTAATGGATCTGTGGAGTTTTAAAGTTATACAGCAAGAACTGGGCATCACCAAGAGAAGAGCAGTAGTTAGCTGTTGCAGGACCATTTCATGGGTCAGGGCCTTCAGTCTTAAAAATCTACACCTTGATCTTGCCCATGTCCTAGAGTTTGTCCAAATTCAAGAGGTGAAATCACACTCATCAGACTGAAAGATATAAAAAGAGAAGGAAAATGTATTAATTTATGAGAAATGCAATGGTCATACAGATTAGATTATGTCTGTCGAGCAGGCAACATCTTTCTAAGCAGGTTGTGGGACAAGGAAAATTAGAAAAGTTCTTGAAAAACATCACATCAAAAGTACAGGGTGCGAATAACAGATTTATTTGTCACGTGGATCAGATGTTTCTAGCACCATAAGCATAGTACCCCCTGAAAATGACTGGGATGTCTACTTCTATGGATCTTGCCATTCTGAGCTTCTATCACTGATCAACCAATCCCATTGTTCCCCATTATCCTGTGACACATCCTTATACACTTTAGAAATTTCTTAGCTTGCCACCAACCTTTAACTATTTCTAAGTCTTCCCCCATCTCCCCTTAACAAGGCCTTATATTATCTTTTCCCCTTTCCTTACTTCCCTCTCTGAGATAACATCTCATTATGTAGTCCAGGCTGGTTTCTAGTTCACAATCTTCCTGAGCTCTGGGATTATAGACATGTGCCACCCACCCATGTATCTTGATAATTTTTATCAGAATTGACTTACTCCAATATTTGAAGTGCCTCACATTACATTATATGATATCACAATATTGAATCATTCTTCTGTTTAATATCAATTAATAGGATTGCAACTCTTATTTATTAAAAACAATGCATAATGTTAATGTGATATACATTCCAAGTAAGTGTTATAGAAAGAAGGAAAAGACTTTTGCTGGAAAATACCATAAATGCTGGTGCAGAAAACTGCCCTAGAAGGATAGAGTGATTAAGCACTGGGTCTGTGCCTCATGTTTTCCTGGGCCAAAGAATTCCATGACCTCATCTAAGTTTTGTTGGTAAGACTTTCTTGCTATATTATTGACTTTTTGTGATTACTACACTACAAGAAGTTTGAGTGTTTTATGAACAAAAATTTTATGTGAATTTGTCAGGTGCCATGGCTCATACATATAATCTTAGCAACTCAGGAGACTTGATATCTGAGGACTGAGGTTTGAAGACAGTCCAGGCAGAAAAGTCAATTATTTCTGATTAACCTGAAAAAAAGGCAAAAGTGGATTTATGGCTCAAGTGCAAAAGCAGCAGTTGCGAGCAAAAAAGCCAAACAGGAGTGTGTGAGGACCTGAGGTCAAGTTCCAGTACTGGTGTACACACACACACACACACACACACACACACACACACACACACACACACTCACTCACACACAATTTAAAAGATAACAGGCACAGAAATAAGGGAAATAATATAAATGACATAAAGATTGATAATCTCCTTCCTCTAATACCATTCCTATTCTGGGAAGGTCAAAAATGTTAAAAATCTGACCCAAATGATCACAAACAAGACCATACTAAAACTACCAGCACAACTGTGTTTATTGCAGCATTATTTACCATAGCTAAGATATGGAACCAACCCAGATGCCCCTCAGTAGATGAATGGATCAAGAAATGTGATACACACACACACACACACACACACACACACACACAATTTAAAAGATAACAGGCACAGAAATAAGGGAAATAATATAAATGACATAAAGATTGGTAATCTCCTTCCTCTAATACCATTTCTATTCTGGGAAGGTCAAAAATGTTAAAAATCTGACCCAAATGATCACAAACAAGATCATACTAAAGCTACCAGCACAACTGTGTTTATTGCAGCATTATTTACCATAGCTAAGATATGGAACCAACCCAGATGCCCCTCAGTAGATGAATGGATCAAGAAATGTGATACACACACACACACACACACACACACACACACACACCATGGAATTCTATGCCTCCATCAGAAAGAATGACATTACCCCATTTATTAGGAAATGGAAAGACTTGGAAAAAATTATATTAAGTGAAGTAAGCCAGGCCCAAAGAAACATAGGTCCCATGGTTTCCTTTATTTGCAATAACTAGTATATATCTAGGACAAACAGAAAAGGTCAAAACATATGACCAGATAAGATGATGTAAAGCAAAATGAACCCCAAGATAGGGACACAAATATCTTTTTTCTTTCTTGCTATTGTTTCTAACATATTTAAAATGTGCCATTTGATTTTTTTTTTGTTTCTTTATATGTTCCTCCTCCACGGTATAACCCCTGTTCTTACTGTATTTGATGTTGGTACCCTGCATCTTGTATATATGCTTCTCTAATTTGGTGAGGGGAAGGGAAAAAACAAAATGCTTAAATAGGGATACAGGTTGATCCATTGTAACAATGAGGTGCACAAGACACTATGATGGAAAATGAACTTTACAATTTAGGTGGGTGTGGGGAGTGTAGTTGTGGAGGTGGGAGGGAAGGGATGGTAGGGGAAAAACAAAGGAGGCAACAATGCTTGATAGGAAATGTACTCATTACCTTGCTCATGTAACTGTAACCCCTCTGTACAGTATTTTTACAATAAAAAAACATATTAAAAATGTTAAAATCTTGAGCACATAGCTCACAATTTTTCCCTAACTATTATGAACAGATATACTGACAAATATGTACAATTTATTTATTTGCTTCCAAAAAGTACATTCATATAACAGACATTATTAGAGTGGACATAGTTGTGCAGGCCTGTAATTCCAGTGCTCTAAGGACTAAAGCAGGAAGACAGTGAATTTGAAGCCAGCTTGTGCTGCATAGTGACACCCTGTCTACAAAAGAAAAACAACCTACTTTATTCCACAGTACATTGTCCTTATTTAATTGTATGTAATTTACATGAAAAGAAGCATTAATCTTTGCTAAGGACAGCCTTACTGAGAGAGCATTCCCTCTGACTTATCTCCAGCTGGGAAGACAGGACTGTGTCTGGAGCTCATGATTCCTGGCTTTCTGCCTCACCAATGCCAAGTCCCCACCCTGGTGTTCCCTGTGTGGGCAGCCAGCCCAGTTCCCTGGGGATATCCTGCCATTGTGACCCAGCGCCTGAGTCCTGCATCTGCCAGATTTTCACCTATCATGGGAGAGAGAGACACCCCGCCACAGGTGAGGGATCACTATTTACTTTTTTAAAAAACCCCAATACAGTAAAGCTGCAATAAATGAACTGTGATATCTGCCCCCCCCCCCCCCACCAAATCTTTGCTGAGGAGGCTAATAGCTATCTCTCACAGTACCAACTGCAGATTTAACATGCTTTAACATACAACATTATACCACAAGGGTGCACTACAACTTAAGCAATAATTTTCCAATATTTCTCTAAGAGAATTAAGGTTTCTTGCAAATTGTACTCATGAGTGTACAAATTTATTCCCCACTTAATGAATCACAAAGTGAACTAATGTTAAGATTCTAGTCTTTCTTCCATATATGCCAGGGAATGGATCTCAAACTCTACCGATGCTCAAGTCTCTTCTGTAAAATTGAATAGGGTGTGGCTCAACTGACTGAGCACAAGCCTGTGTATAAGATGCTAAAAGAGTGATGAGGTCCTGAGTTCAAGCCCCATTACCAGCACATAATAAAATAAAATGAAATGGTATTTCCATATAACCTACATAAACCCTTAGTCTTCCTATTTAATTCAGATCATTTGTAGATTACCTGTAATACCTAACACAATGTAAATGGTATATAAATAGTTGTTCATGATATTGTTTAGGGAATCACAAGACAAAGAAGTCTCTGAACATCATCAGTACAGGTGAAGCCATCACAGATTAGCTGGTAACAGTACAAACAAGGGGAATTTTTGATCTAGGACTGAGACTGACTGGATCCATTGCTAGAACCTTCAGATATGTGCTCTCTCAAAATGGGTAAAGTAAACCATTCTTCCATCCATGTTTCAAAGAGATCAAGACCTCAAACAAAACTAGGTCTTATCATACCTTAAATTTATAAAGTTGATGAATCTTATTTGGTGTGTGATTTAAGAAATGTACTCATTATCTTGCCCATGTAATTGTAACCCCTCTGTGCAGTATTTTCACTATAAAAAATAAAAATTTTAAAAAAATTAACATAATAGCATATAAATAACTTTTTGTACTGGTACTGGGGCTTGAACTTAGAGCCTGGGCACTGTCCATGAGCTTTTTTGTTCAAGGCTAGCACTTAACCACTTCACCCACAGCTCACTTCTGGCCTTTTTGGTGATTAATTGGGGATAAGAGTTACATAAACTTTCCTGCCTGGGGTGGTCTGGAACTGTGATCCCCAGATCTCAGCCTCCTGAGCAGCTAGGATTATAGGTGTGAACCACAGGCACCCAGATTAACAATTTTAAATGATTCATTCATCTTTAATTCCTTTCTCATGATCACCCACTATTTTCTAGTTCAAAGATGAACTGTATGTTAATCTCTATAAGAGATCTTTGTACAGTATCTTTACAATAAAAAAATATACTAAAAAATAAAATCAGTTTCTAATCCAGGTTTAAAAAAAAGAAGTCTTTGTAAAATTGACACCTATTTTTGCTAAGTAGGTTTAAATTTTCTTTCCAGTCTTGAATTAATGTCATGATTTTGTGTCTGTGGAGGGATTTTTTCGGGGAGGGGGGGGCGGAAATGTGGTGCTAAGGATCAAACACAGGATCTTGCACGATAAGCAAGTGCTCAACCAATTACCTATATACTTATGATGTAGTGTTTGATTCACTAATATTTAAATAATTTAAGTTTTTAAAGGCAAGATTTTTTTATGCCTGTCAGACTTTCATGATGAATGAGGAAGATGTATCCAAATCAAGTCACACATTTTATAAAATTGTGATTTTTGTGTTAACAAAAATTAAATAAAGCCATGTGGTGGTAGCACAAACCTGCAACTGCATCATTTCAGAGGCTGTGCAGAAGAATCATGAGTCCAAAGGCAGTCTGGGCTACATAGAGAGTTTCAGGCCAGTCGTGGCTACTTGGAGAAGCCCTGTCTTTATTTAACCAATATTTTCATAAAATAATTTTCCATTTGATTGTCTGGTTTTTAGACATGATGAAAACTTCAAACATACA